GGCAGAGTGGAGATTTGGGCCCAGCTTGTTCTGACAGGTGCCAACATCTGGCCTCCCAGAGCCTGAGCTGCTTCCTCTCTAAGTTTCACAAGTCTGCTCTCTATCCTCAGGCTCCATGTTCTCTGGCTCATCTCTTCCTCAGCTGCAGGACTCACTGCAGTCCTAGGGATGAGGACCTTCAGCTCCAAATCTAGCCCACTCGCTAGCCCTACAGACTTCTCTCGTTCTCTAATGGAGCCCTCTCTCCAGGTGTCCCAGTGAGACCTCATTCTCAACAGATTAATGCTATTTTTTACCCTAGGCTTCTTACTCTGTGCTGGCTTTGGTCACAAGGTAACCCTTTATTTTGTGAATTTCTCCAAAACACATGCAACTTTTGGTTAAGGAGAAAGATTAATTCATTATTGTATGTGAAGATAAGCTAGGAGCTATTCTTTAGTAAAAACCTGCTCATCTTTCAAAATGTGTATGGGTCAAAAACACTGAACAGTCCTACCTGGCACATTTCCCTCCCAGGAAATATGCACTCATACAATAAATGTCTCTCTTCCTTTCCCACTAATGAGAGGTGTCTTAATTTACTACTGCACAGCTTTCTGTGTCCTAGCTTCTGCTTCTTCATAGTTTCTACTAATTGGTTCTAACTCTAATCATTCAAGTAGTCCTTTTATTTTCTCCATCACTTACTTTATGTACAGAGTCTCATATGCATGTCTTGATTTAGTACCCTCCACTTGAATAGAACCATGTCTGTGTCCTTCTGAGATCAGAGGATCTAAAAGTAAAATAAAGGGGCCAGTGCTGCGACACAGCAGGTTAAGCAACTGTCCAGAGTGCCAGCATCCCACATGGGCACCGATTAGAGTCCTGGCCGCTCTGCTTCCAGTCCAGTTCCCTGCTAGCACATCTGGCAAAGCAGCGGACGATGGCCCAGGTCCTTCCACACCCACGTGGGAGACCACGAAGAAGCTCTTTCCTGGCTTCAACCTAGCCCAGCCCTGGCCATTGTGGCCATTTGGGGAGTGAACTAACTGATGGAAGATCTCTCTCTCTGTCTCCCATCTCTGTCTCTGTAGCTCGGCCTTTCAAATAAATAAATAAGTCTTTTTTTAAAAAATAGTAAAACAAGAAAGGGTTGTTGTGTTAAGATATAAAGGGTATTCATAAAGTTCATGGAATATGCATATTATGAAAAAATACTATGCATGATTTTTTTTAAAATTGCACCAAAATAATAATGATCTCAGAGAAATCAGTGAGACTTTGTCTCCTTGAAGACTCTGACACATCAACAGCCAGCAGAAGGGAAAAGACCAAAGAGAAGAGCCAGCGCTGTCCAGAGGACATGACATAAGCAGACATGGCATCCCCTTCTCAGCAGCCTGAAGTTTCCAGGGACAGCTAAGACATCTTTCTGCCCTTCCTCTGTGTCTTCTGGGGTTCGAGGTTTTGAAAGGTCAGCAGAGTGGGATAGCATCTACACTAACAGAGTGCAGCAGGCATTGTGATGCAGCGGGTTAAGCCACTTCTGCCGATAAAGATATACTGATTTGGTCCGAATGCAATATTCAAGTAGAAGTTAGCAACACTAAAAGTTTTAGAAATAGAATCAATGAAAGTGCATCAAGAAAAAGGCAAAGAAAAAGAAAGCAGGGTTGAAAGGAATTAACCTGGGTGAAAAATTCAATTTTCAAGGCGGAAGGCAAAACTCATCATGGTGATGATGAATGAGGTCTCTGTTAAGGTGACAGACTATAACTTTGGTGCCCTGAGATTTGGGCTTAACTCTTTCATTTCCTTTAAGAACTATTCCATATCATCTTCATCTGCATCTATGTTATTGACAAGACTACTGGGCATCTCCTCCCAGCATCCTGGGAAGGTGGAATCTGAACCCCTCTAATATTCCCTTCAGTCTCCTGGCTTTCAGTCTCTCTCTTAGGAAGAGCTTTTTCTCCATTCTGCCCAAGGACTTGCTCCCCTTCTTTTTTTCTTTTTTTTTTCCCCTCTGGATCACATTTTCTTTTATTCAAAAGGAAGAGAGAGAGAAAGAGACAAAGAGATAGAGGCAGAGAGACCTCTCATCTGTTGATTTACTACCCAAATGCTGTAAAGGCCAGGGTTGGGCCAGGCTGAAGCCAAGAACCTGTAACTCCATCCGGGTCTCCCATGTGTGTGGCAGGGGTCCAACTACTTGAGCCATCATCTATTTGCCTCCCAGCTGGTGCATTAGCAAAAACACTGGGATCAGCAGTGGAGCAGAGTTTCAAATCCAGGCACACTGATATGGGATGTGGGCATCCCGACCAGTGCCTTAACCACTAGGCTAAACTCTTGCCTCTTGGAGGACATTTTCTGTGTTGCTTGTTACACTTTGCAGTCTGTTACTCTTATGAGATAAAAGGTGAGCAAGAGGCCGGCACTGTGGCTCACTAGGCTAATCCTCCGCCTGTGGCACCAGCACACCATGTTCTAGTCCCGGTTGCTCCTCTTTCAGTCCAGCTCTCTGCTGTGGCCCGGGAGGGCAGTGGAGGATGGCCCAAGTGCTTGGGCTCCTGCACCCACATGGGAGACCAGGAAGAAGCACCTGGCTCCTGGCTTCGGATCGGCGAAGTCCTGGCCATGGCGGCCACAAGGGGAGTGAACCAATGGAAGGAAGACCTTTCTCTCTGTCTCTCTCTCACTGTCTAACTCTGCCTGTCAAAAAAATAAATAAATTTTTAAAAAAAGGTGAGCAAGAAGACTGACTGCTTGGTGGACTTACCAGCATGGATGGAGAAGATCACCTCAGGTATCAATAGTTTTTAAAACTTCATCTGGGGCCAGCGTTGTGACATAATAGGTTAAGCCTCTCCCTGTGGCCCCAGCTTCCCATATGGGCGCTAGTTTGAGCCCGGGCTGCTCCACTTCTGATCCAGTTTTGTGCTAGGGCCTAGGAAAGCAGTGGAGGATGGCCCAAGTGCTTGGGCCCCTGCACCCATGTGGGAGACCCGGAAGAAGCTCCTGGCTCCTGGCTTCAGATCGGTGCAGCTCTGGCCATTGCAGCCAATTGGGGAGTGAACCAGTGGATGGAAGATTCTCTCTTTGTGTCTGTCCCTCTGTCTGTAACTGTACCTCTCAAATAAATAAATAAAATCTTTTTTAAAATAATAAAATAAGGGGCTGGCTCCATGGCGCAGTAGGTTAATCCTCCACCTGCGTGCCAGCATCACATATGGGCGCCAGTTCAATTCCCGGCTGCTTCACTTCCCATCCAGCTCCCTGCTAATGCACCTGGGAATGCAGTAGAAGATGGCCCAAGTGCTTGGGCTCCTGCACCCATGTGGGAAATCTGGGGGAAAATCCTGGCTCCTGGCTTCAGCCTGGCCCAGCCCCAGCCATTGCAGCCATCTGGGGAGTGAACCAGCAGATGGAAGATCTCTCTCTCTCTCTCTCTCTAATTTCTCCCTCTCTCGGTAACTCTGACTTTCAAATAAATTAAAAAAAAAATTAAAAAAATACACATGCTTCCCAAAAGATATACTAATGTGACAGAAAAGCAAGTGAATTACACTGACATAGAGTGAGGGTTTTTTTCCCTTCCACATGATCCATTGAGCTGTTTATTCTCCTTCACAAAGGGGCGCTGAAGTTTATACAAAGCAAAAAATACATGTTTATGTCTCCTACTGTGATCTTTCAAATAGTACCTGTAAGGAAAAGGGGTCCAGAACACAGAGGAGGCAGGATACAGACTCTCAGCCAGAATGAATTTATTCACAGAGGTGGCCGACTGCCAGCGTGCTCCCCGATGAAGCATGTGACAGAGGGCCCTCTCCTCAGCCGGCTGGGCTTTATTATATCTTAGGATGGGCTAGGGGTCTGGAGGGGAGGTGGTGGTTATAGAGTTTCTCCATACAGTTTTTCAAGTTTGGCGCTGGCTTCCAAACCTGAAGAAGAATGCAGGGGGTAGTGCAGGTAGAGTGTGAGACTGAAGTGGTCTCTTGAAAGGATGCAAAGATAAGAGGCTGACTCCAAATTTCAAAGGATGCGTGGTAAGGGGTAAATTCCAATTGCATCTCTTTTCAGGCAAGGAGCTAGAACACCTGAGGCTTATGGCTTTTCATGACAAATTTGTGACTACTGCTGAAGACCAAGGTGAGGCGGAAAGGTAGCCAATATCTGTTGAAGACTTTGCATGAACCAAATGCTTTATATCGTTGTATCACTTGGGCTTCCCAACAATCAATTCCATGAGCCGTATGGCATGAATCCCTTCTTTCAGGTGAGGAAGCTCAGGCTCAATGTGTACCTCACAGTTTGTCAGTTGATGATTTTTCAAGCAGCATGGCTTCCTGGCAAGACCACGAGAAGGGCTCTGTTGTCAAACATTTACTTTGATTCATGTTGAATCCTTTTCCCCAAATAAAATCATAATATAAATTCTAATAGCTCACATTTTTAAAGCACTTACTGTATACCAGGCACTCTTCTAAGCACTTAGCTAAAGTAATTTTATTTTTGTTCTGAATATAAAAAGTTACTGAATATATAAAAGTTACTTTAAGAAAAGAATACAGAAGTATTAAGAATGAAGTAAAAAAAATGTATTAAGAAATCTCGCTTCTTGGAACAGGGTCCCCCCTCCTTTTTTTTTTTTAGGATCACTGCCCAACCCATTGCTTTCCAGGACAGCTAAGTACCAGATTGCAGATGAAATGGAGGTTAGGGGAGGGACAATGGATGGAGGAGTTCGTTATTCTGGGAGCGGAAGACAGCAAGAGACAGTTGTTGAAAGAAGTCGAAAAGTTCAGTATTTTCAGAAAAAAAAAAAAAGATGCAGCCACTTCCTGGTAATCACAGAATGGCAAATAACATTTTTCCCTCTGGGATAAGCAACAGAAAAGACTGACAGGGCCATATGCATATATAGAGAGAGGAGCGGGTCCGGGAGAGTGGGGCGGGAGGCAGAGGAGGGCGGACCCACTTCTGCCGCGCTTTTGGTGGGAGTGGAAATTGGGGACAGGAGCTCACTGGTGACGTAGATCTCATGTGACCAGGAGTCGACGTGTGCAGAAGTCCTACTAGTCCAGTCCTTGTTCCCGTCTGGGTACCAGCTCCCTTCAGCGGTGCAGGCGGCGGTGCCAGAGGCCAGTGAAAGGAGTCAGCGTGCCGGGATTTTACAGGTTGGTGCCAGTATGGGTGTTGCCCTGGGGAGTTCTTGGGTGCGGCTGAGACTTCACGGAGTCCCAGTCAAGTTCTCTGTCCAACAGCTCCCGCCCTCCTTCCCCCCACCTTCAGTTCTGAGAAATGATGCCCCTGGGGAAAGGAACCAGGAGTCCGGGGAGAAGGACACGGAGACTGTGATCATTTAAAAAGAATCAGCTTCTGCCATCTCAGTCCGCTTTCCCGACACCCACTCTCCCCCCAAACCTCCCGTCAGCCTGCAAGATAGTTTGGAAACAATCTGCTTTTCCACTCCCTGTCTGATGAGAAAGACGGGCGAACTTGCCCTGCGCACAGGGAGAGAACTGGGATAAAACAAAGGGTGCGAAAGTTTCCACGGCCGAGATCCTAGACGAGGAAAGCTACGCGTGTCCACTCGCTGGTGCTGATCGGCCCAGCGGGCGCTCGCCCCACCCCCACCGCCTCCTCCCGACTCTCGTTTGTCTGCAGGTCTGTTGTTCTCTGCACAGCTCGACGCTAGGGAAGCAGGAGGGAAAAACCGACCCGACCCGTACGCGGTAGGTGAGAGGAACATTCTGAAGACTCTTGACGTGGAAGTGGGCAAGAGCGAGGCTGAGATTGTAGGCCCCACTGTCTCTCCCTCCCCCCCCCCCCCCACCTTGGCGGGCCTGCTCTTTCGGTGCGGGGAGGGCAGGGAGGCCGGAAGGAGGACCTTGGGAAAGGCGAGAGGGAGGGAGAAGAGAGGTGAGGAGGTGGAAAGTGGAGGCGATCGGGAGGCCCCGGTTGCTGCCTGGGTTTCTCAAGTGAAAGATATTTGGTGACAACTCCGAATCACTACCAGCAAATTCGGAGACCTCTGTCCAGAGCTGTCCGCTACCGTAGCCTTTCACTGACTGTCTCCTGCTTGCTTCCTAGAAGTAATTGCACTCGAAGAGGAAGAAGCAGGGAAAAGAAGGAAAGAAAGAGGGAAGCGAGGAAGAGAGGCAGAGAGAAACAAGATGAAACCCTGCCAAAAAATGGAAGGAAAACCAGAAAATGAGAGTGCACCAAAGCTTGAGGAGGAGCCAAAGCCTGAGGAAAAGCCAGAGGAGGAGGAAGAGCCTGCGGAGGTGGAAAAAGCCGAGGGAACTTTTAGAGAAAGGTTGATTCAGTCTCTCCAGGAATTTAAAGAAGACATACACAATAGGCATTTAAGCAATGAAGATATGTTTAGAGAGGTGGATGAAATAGACGAGATAAGAAGAGTGAGAAACAAACTCGTAGTGATGCGTTGGAAGGTTAATCGAAACCATCCTTATCCCTATTTAATGTAGTTTACCTTGATTTTATATGAGGTTAGCATTACCATATAGCTTTTTTTTTTTTGCCAGCATTTTCCTGATATATCTTTGTCCATCTTTCCACTTTTAACTTGTTGCTCTTAGTGGATTTAGATGCATCTCTTGTTATCTGCATCTCATTGTTTAGCTTATTTTGAACCAGTCTGTATATCTCTGCCTTTTAATAGGAGAGCTTTACTCATTTGTAAAAAAAAAAAAAAAAAAGTGGTTTCTGATAGGAAATAAGAGGTTACTAAGTCATATGTGAATATCATATTTTTGAAAAGTACACTTGTATATTACATTTATGCACCTGAAAACTTGCAAAAGAGGAAAACATAAAGTACAGTGTCTTAGTGGTGAGATTCTGATTTTTTCCTTCTGCTTATTTGTATTTTCCATTTTCCTAAAATGAACACATTATTGTTGCTAAAAATAATAATAAAAGTTTTATAACAATAAAAAACAAGAGTGCTTACTTTATTTCTGAAAGTACTGGGGCAATTATTGACAGAATTTTAGGAGCAAATGTGTACTTTTTTAAAAAAAGATTTATTTATTTATTTATTTATTTATTTTAAAGGCAGAGTTAGACAGAGAGGGAATGACAGAGAGAGAGAGATCTCCCATCTGCTGGTTCATTCTCGAGATGGCCGGGGTCTGGGCCAGGCCAAAGCCAGGAGCCAGGAGCTTCTTCTGGGTCTCTCATGTGGGTACAGGGGACCAAGGACTTAGGCCATTTTCCACTGTTTTCCCAGGAGCATTAGCGAGGAGCTCGAAAATCTGGGTGTTTTCTCCTCAGTGTGGAACAGCCTAGAATTGAACCAGTGCTCATATTGGATGCTGGCACCATGTGCCAGCCCCAAATGTGAACTTTAAAACTATTATCAGACCACTTAGCTAGAATAAAGTGTACCTCTTTTCTCATCTGTAAAATAAAGATTATAATGATCTCCCAGAGATCTTGCAGAAGCCAGTTAAGGTAAAGCCTATGAGCTGTGCTTGACAGGTTTTTTTCCCATTTGCCCATGAGGATGTGAACTCCCTGGAGATTCATCTCAGGTATTCGGGACAGTGGAACAAATGTTCTCATTTGTGTTTGACAACAAATCCAGGCAACTCTTAGGTGGGTGCCTTTTGTATATTTCTTTCCAGTAGTGCCTGCCTACCCACACCCTCTGCCATTGATAATACCATGTATATTCCTGCCCCTTCTGGCAGATCCTGCACATACTACTGCAAATATGCTAGGATTCTCAAGTAGTAAAGTGCAACATACATTAGCTCACCTAGTGGGCTAAAATCCCAGACTGACCCCTACAAAAATGGGGAGATTGCCTATCCCTTCAATTTAGACATGTATATAGTACCGCTTGTACCAGGATATCTTACAGATATCTTGGCCATTTGGGGATCCTAACATCTTCCCCAGACATGATGAATCCATCTGGGGAATGGACAAGAAGACATCTGACTAACACTATGCTTTAGTCAGAATTGTTGGTCTGTGTCTGAATGTCTGAAGATTACCATTTTGTTTTCCTGATTCCCATTTCCTTAGGGCCAGTGATCTCTCCCAAAAGACTGGTGACAGGTGCTCCACATCAGTTCAACTGACATCCCCAGACTCATGTAAGTTTTAAAGGGATATGCAAGGTAGATTTGAGGATACTCTCATCCCTGGATGGAAATATGTGAAAGTGCTATGTAAGATTTATTATGCATATGCATATCCATATCCCAATGCTTATGTATCTACAAATGCATATATGATTCATAGTTGTGCCATTCATGTACTGTTTTTCCTGTATGCTGTGCTTTTTTGGGCAGTTCGTGTCTTTAGACTATTCTTGAAGGTTTCAACAAGCTAATGGGTGCTGGTCTGGCTGGAGTGAAAAGAGGTTCCAGGGGTCACTATGCCCATTTCACAAGACAGACTAAATCCGTCCCCCTGGCGCTTGGAGGGGTGATGCTCAGGCAGGATGTGGAAGAGCTCATCAGAGCCACACTGCTCTCCAGGGTGGGTCTGCCTTCAGTTTCTCTGCCCCAGTCTGCAGCAGGCATCAGACTCCCTAGGCTGCCAGCTGGGCTGTCCTGGACACACACCTGGAGGAGGACAGTTGTCCCCTTTGCAGTTCAGAGTACTACACTTTCTTTCTCCTTTTCTTTTTCACAGAGGTCTTGATGGAAACTTTTTAATTTTTCTTAAAAAAAAAGATTTATTTGTTTACTTGAGAGAGAGAGAGCACTTCCATCCCAAGTGACACGTGACCTCAGTGGCCAGGGCTGGGCCAAGCTGAAGGCAGGAGGCAGGTAGTCCACCCAGGTCTCCCATGTGAGTGGCATGGGCGCAAGCACTTGGGCCATCTTCTGCTGCTTTCCCAGGTGCATTAGCAGGAAGCTGGATGGGAAGTGAAGCAGCTGGCACTTGAATCGGTGCCCTTCAGGGATGCTAGCATTACAGGCCATGGCTTAACATGCTGTGCCACAACACTGGCTCCATGGGTAGAATTTTATTATGGAGAAGATAAGAACTCAAAATTCACTAACATGAAGCACTGATTGTGATAGTCTTTATCTTAGATATGAATGTTCTAGATGTAAATAGATAACTTGAGGTTAAAGCAGAAAGGCCTAATGGTAGCAGAAGATGATTTTAGATAATACACAGATATTTTATTTTAATGATTTATTTATGTGAAAGGCAGAGTCTCTCTCTCTCTCTCTCTCTCTCTCTCACACACACACACACACACACACACACACAGAGAGAGAGAGATTGGTGTTCCATCTGCTGGTTCACTCACTAAATGGCTGCAACAGCCAGGGCTGGGGCTAGGCTGAAACCAGGAATAAGAAGTTCCATTGTGAGTAGCAGGGGCTCAAGCACTTGGGTCATGACTACCAGCTCTCAGGGTGTTCATTAGCAGTAAGCGGTGGAAGCAGAGCTGGAACTCAAAGCCGGCACTACCTGGAATGTGGGCATCCCAAGCAGTGACTTTTTTTTAAAAAAATGTATTCATTTATTTGAAAGGCAGATTTATAGAGAGGGAGAGAGAGAGAGAGAGAGAGAGAGAGAGAGAATGAATCAATCTTCCATTTGCTGGTTCACTCTCTAAATGACCTCAAAGGCCTGACCTAGACCAGGCCAAACCAGGAGCCTAGAATTCTTTCTCGATCTCTCAAAAGGCTGGCAGCAGCCTAAGTACCTGAGCCATCATCTTCAGCCTTCCCAGGAGGATTAGCAGGGAGTTGGATTGGCAGTGGAACAGCCTAAATTCAAACCGGCACTCTTATATGAGATGCTTGGGTCACACCTGGCAGTTTAACAACTGCACCACAATGAACACAGGCCCCCAATCATTTTTCTTCATCTTTTTTCTGTGTATATTTTGGATCATATAACTATCAATCTATCTTCAAGTTCACTAATTCTTCTGTCAATTCTAATTTTTTTTTGTTTCAATTATTGGCTTTTCAATTCCAGAATTCCCATGTGATTCTTTCTTAATAATTTATGTGTCCTTATCGATCTTTCTACTTGATGCAATATTGTCATTGTATCTTCCTCTTTTTTCAGATTTTATTTATTTATTTGAGAGGTAGAGTTACAGACAGTGAGAGGAAGATACAAAGAGAAAGGTCCTCTGTCCACTGATTCATACCCCAGACGGCCACAACGGCCAGAGCTGAATCCGAAGCCAGGAGCCAGGAGCCTCCTCCAGGTCTCCTATGCGGGTACAGGGGCCCAAGGACTTGGGCCATCTTCTGCTTTCCCAGGCCACAGCAGAGAGCTAGATTGGAAGTGCAGCAGCCTGGACTAGAACCGGCGCCCATATGGGATGCTGGTGCTGCAGGCAGAGGATCAACCTACTGTGCCACAATGCTGGCCCTCCTTTACTTCTTTAATCATGATTTCCTTTAGTTATTGAGACATATTTTTAATGGTGGCTTTGAAGTTTTTTCTATATCTCATAACTGTTACAGGTGATTTATGTTGCCTGCTCTTATTTTCCAATGTATGGGTCATTCTTTTCTGTTTCTTTGCATGTCTTGTTGGAAACTAGATGTCTTAGATAACATGTTGTAGCAAGTCTGCTTACTGCCCCCCTCTGCAGGACATATTATTATTATTTGCCTATTTATTGCTTTAGTGATTGGCTAGATGATCTTGATGATATCCACTGCTCTCCCTCCAGCACTAAATCTCTGTCGCTCCTCAGGGAGGCAAGTCTTTTGATGTGCCCATAGTCACTCTATGATGACAATGGTTTTCACAGGGCTTTCTTAGTCTTTCTCCCTGACCATACTCAAACTTTAGGCTCCTCTAATTGCTGACTGTTTGGTCTATTATTTTCAATAATTGCCATCAATTGCTCTTAACACTAATTAAATCAAACATAGGCTCTCAAGGAACAGTTCCCAAGGTCAGTTTGATATATGTTTGGCCCCAGGAAAATTACTCCTAGCCATCTCCTTCTCTGGCTCTCCCTGGATCTCTCCAACAATCTAGCCAGACAATAGTTCAACAAATCCATGAATCACTTCTCAATTGCCTCCACCACAATATCCAATGTTTTTGGAACATACTCAGCTTGAATTTAGTTAGCGCCAGCAGCAGATGGTTGGGGGAAGGATGAGAAATGTTCACACCTTGCTGTTCACAAATGAAAGCTCCTGACCGGAAACTGCAAACAGAGGATTCCCTGTGTTCTCCACTGCCAGTTAGGAGTGCAGCTTATGCCTCCCTAAGCTGGAAGTGTAAGGGGAGAGCTCAAGGTTCAAATACAATGCTCACCTCTCTTATAATGTTCTATAGATTTCCTTAAAGAAATGTTTCTCCATTGATATATACCCTTAACACCAATTCCAAAGGCTTTAAATGGTTGGTTGTTTTGCTTTATAGTCTTTATCAGTCTCGCTGGAGAATAAGTCTACAGCACTCTTTGAGCTGTCATGCCAGAAATCAATCTCCTAGACATTGCTTCCTCCTAAAAGACTTCATTGGCAGCTCAATTAGATCCTATTATTCTGTGCTCCAAGTGCTCCAAATTCAGCACTTACTGCTCTGTTTCTGCTTTCCTCCCACTAAATAATGAGCTCCATAAGAATATGAAGGCTACATTTACCTCATTCTCTTTTATATCTCCAGAGATTTACCTGCAACATAGTAGACATTCAATAAATATTGATTGAACTGAATGTGTATTTCTTATATTTTGATTAATGGCAAAAGCTATGTCCTGGAAATTGGCATTCCTAACTGTGGTGCTGAGATTGACAAATGGATATGGAGAGGCAGTGCCTAGCAAAGGATAGTGTTCACATAATATAAAAATAAATGTTGAATGAACAAAAGAATGAATGAGATATAAAATTGGGACTCAATGATAGGGTAACATTCAAGAACATTGACTTAGGAACCAGACTATATGAGTTTTAATTCCTGCTCTGCCACTTAATGTGTGT